TCAAAAGATAATATTCAACAGGCCCTTTCTGATGCTCATTGTGGAGAACAAAAAACACATCCTTTTCCTCGGCAAAGTGACTCGCCCTTGAGATGGGGATTTCTCCTGAAAGGCACAGGCTTCCATAGTGGAAGATGAGGGTGCCCTATGGCCATGTATCTGCTGGGAGCTGGTGATATACACAGGTTTAATCGACTAATGAGGCTTCCACAAATAATAATAATAACAATAACATTGAAATACTGATGATTGCTTCTTTTCACACGATTGCAAGATGGGTGCTTTGGAGAACATTTGGTTTTGCTCTCACCTTTCATCCATGGAGATTAGCACTGAGATCCAGAGAAGCCACACAGCATGCCAGTGGCAGAGAGAAGCTCAGAATCCAATCCAGGAGGATTGTTCCAGTAGATATTTCCACCAGGAAGCATATTCACAAGCCTAGTTCCCCACCTGTCTGTAATACCAGCTACCAGTTTGCCATGGTTTGGAAAGGACACTGGAATGGGGGTATGAAGTGGGGCTTCTGTCCCAGCTGTGTGACATTGGGTAATACTGTCGCTCTCTGGACTTCGGTTTCCCCACGTATACGATGAAGGGTCAGGTCAAGGACTGGAGGATCCTTGAAATCATATAAAAAGTGTAGAATGTTCCCCACAAATCAGGTGATTTCAATGCATCCAAGTGCCACCCATCTTTTAAGGAAAGCAGGTGGACGGCAGGGTGGATACGGCCATCCCAGGTTTGTACCGTCCTGTGGGTACATTTACAACCTCGTGGGCTTGGCTGGGGGTGGGAGAATGGAGGCCTATTGCAAATACTAGAGTATCAGTTGAAGACCCTGATGACTAACTGTGGATTTTAGTGTCAGCAATAACAATAAAGCATTTTGCAAACACTGGGTGTCATTGTCCTTCTAGTAGTACCTCTGGGAACAGCAACATTAATAGCTTATGTTCCAGGACTGATGCTAGGCGCTTAATCTGAATGGTTGCACTTACCCCTCACAATATCCTGTACCAGGCAGGCACTCCTCTTATCCCCACTTTACAGATAGGGATGGTGAGGCTTGTAGAGAACAGGTAATATACGTAGTCACACAGCTCCTTGGTGGCGGAGGCAGGATTTGACCCCAGGAGTGTGGCCCCCGGACCACCCTCTCAGCCCTGGGCTCTGCCGCAGAGGAGACACGAGCCAGAAACAGAAGCCCAGGTCAAGTGCATCCGGGCACCAGCTCCCTTGTCATCTAGGTAGGCCCACTCTCCTCCTTCACGAAACCCACCATGCTTCCTTGTCTATCAAATAAAGGGGATTGGACCCTTTCAAGAATCAATGAATGAATGAGTGAATGAGTCCTTCACTCAGTCTCAGATTTTCCCCTAATTAGCTGCCCCCAAGTCTGACCCCTGAGTGCCTGTTGCCCCACCTTACATGCCCAAAGCTTGCTTTCCATGAACCTGCGGTCAGCGCTCTGACCCCACCCATGTGTGGGTGCCCCTTAGAACTAATGGGGTCAGAACTCCAAGCTCTGACCACCCCTCAAAGTACTGAGCACCTACTATATGCCAGCAGTGGGGATACTTTGCATCTGTGATGTCGTTAATCCTTCAACAACCCTGTAAGGTCTACCTCAGCGTCCTCATTTCACAGAGGGCAACATAAGTGCTTGCCCAGAGCCCCCCTTCTGGTGACAGTGTAAGGCCCAGGCTCTGGGACCCAGATGGCACAGGTGTCAGCTGGCGGCAGGGTAGATGGCTGCAACCAGAGCCAGACACCTTGTCTGCGTTTTTGCTTTGGGCTTGGGAAGCTCTGGAGGATGGGGCCTCCTCATGGAGCCAGACCTGCTCCTGTGTGCCTTTTCCTTTTGCAACGCCTGGTCTTTTTTGGCAAATATTTTTCTCAGAGTTTACTCAGCCAGTCCAAGGTCAGGGGGAGGTCCTGGCTGTGCCGTGTGTGTAAGGCCAAGGTCCAGCGCTGTCTAAAGTTCACTCAGCAAACAGTCACAAAACAGCTCCCGTGTGGGGATCGGGCCGGGCTCAGGGCGGCCGATTTGGGGTGTCATGGAAGGAAGCTCCGAGCTGGGAGTCACGGCAGGTCGTGTAAGTCAATTGTCACGCGATCCTGGGCTGAACAAACTGATAGAGCAACTCAGAGAGAGAGAAAGAGAGTTAACTTCTGAGGGCTCAGGGAAGGTTTTGCTGAAGAAGTGACTCTGAGCTGATCTTGAAGAGCATGTAGGGCTTCACAGACAGCAGACTTGGGAACAGAGCTGGGACTTCCAGGCCAAGGGAACAGCTGGAGAGAGCATGAGGCTGAGTGAGCTACAGTGTGGATGGGAAATTGTGGAGACTTCAGCCTGGACCAGGGCAGGGAGTGGGAAGTAGAGCAAGGAGGAAAGAGGGGACAGTGCTTCGGTCCAGTGACAGGGACTCTGAACATGAGGCCCAGGTTTTGTCTCCTTTCTCCTGATTTCAGGGTAGTTTGGCCATCCACGCCACACCTAAATCATTCCCTGGACCTCTTCCTGCCCCTCACTCTCCCATCTGTGCATACCATAGATGCTTCACTCATCTCCCTAGGGGGCGCTCACACCCATCCACACCTGCTTCTCCATCAGCCCCACCTGCCCCTCCCTGGGATAGACCTCATTCATCAGGTGGGAAAAAGTACAAGGTCTGTCAGAGCCCACATTATAGGCATGGCTGTCCCCCTCAGGACCCCCTTTCTTAGCTGCCGTATTCATTTACTAGGGCTGCCATAACAAAGTCCCACAGACAGAGTGGCTTAACAACATAAATGTATTATCTTACAGTTCTGGAGGCTGGAAGTCTGAGATCAAGGTCTCATCAGGGCTGGTTCCTTCTGAGGGCTCTCTTTTGTGTTTGTAGACGACTGTCTTCTCTCTGTGTCCTCACATGGGCTTCCCTGTGTGTGTGTATGTCTGTGTCCAAATCTTCTCATCTCCCAATCTCCACCAGTCATATTGGATTGGGGCCCACCCTAATTTTAATTTAATCATCTCTTTAAAGATGCCATCTCCAATTCCAGTCACGTTCTGCGGTACTGGGGGTTAGGACTTCAACATAGGAATTTAGGGGGACACAATTCAACCCATAGCAGTCACCCCACCTTTGAATTTCTTGGCAGCTGTTGCCAAGTTCATTCGTGTTCTTAGGAACCCACTTTCATTTCCCTCTCTGACCACGTGCACTCTGAGGCCCTCCCCGTGTGGACTCCACCGCTGCCAGAAAGTGGAGGAACAGTGCTAGGGCCCAGGACTCCTTCCTCCACCTCTCCCTGCAGAAACCCATACCAAAAAGAATGAACTTGGTCTCCAGAGGAACCACTTCATGTCCCATTAAACAGCCTTGCCCAGACTACACTTGTTTATTTAGCTCTTTCATCCAAAGGCCATTGCTCATGGGGTGCCTACAGGGAATCAGGCAAGGAGCTAGTAAAAGGGTGTAATGTTGAGCCCAGCAGATGCGGGCTTAGGCAATAACCAGGTACACAAACAAACAAGCAGAATTACAAACTCTGATGAGGGTAATTCTTTTGTCCACAAATGTTTATTGAATATCCCCTGGCACTGCTCCAGGTGCTGAAGATAAATGAAGAAAACAACAAAGATCTCTGCTCTGGAGGAACTATATTCTAGTATGGAGTGACCATAACAAAAAAAATAACAAAGAATAGAAAAGAAAAGTAAAATACATCGCATGTCAGTTGATGGCAAATGCTATGGAGTGTGAGTTTGACAATTAGAGCAGGAAGTAAAGAATAGTAGTGCTAGGTGGAGAGACCTGACATCCACGACCTTGGGTGAAATACCTTGACTGTGTGGTCAAGGTCAACTTCACCAGTGGTATGTTGTGTTATCATCTTGTTTCTTCTGATATGGGGTGATGAGAAGGGAGCATTGCCTCAGTGGGATCTTCCCCCAAACATATAACCTCACTCTGATCATGAGAAAACAGCATACAGACCCCAACTGAGGGACATTCAACAAAATATCTGACCAGCAGTACTCTTCAAAAGTGTCAAGATTATGCAAAACAAGGAAAGCCTGATGCTATGAACTGAAGGTTTGTGTTCCCTCAAAATTCACATGTTGAAATGCTCACCCCCAGTGTGATAGCATTAGAAAGTGGTGTCATGGGGAGGTGACTAGGTCATGAGGATGGAGCCTTCATGAATGGGATTAGTGCCCTTAAAAGAGACCCCAGATGGGATTTCCTGGTGGCTCAGTGGTTGAGAGTCTGCCTGCCGATGAAGGGGACACGGGTTCGTGCCCCAGTCTGGGAGGATCCCACATGCCGTGGAGCGGCTGGGCCTCTGAGCCATGGCTGCTGAGCCTGCATGTCCGGAGCCTGTGCTCCACAAGGGGAGAGGCCACAACAGTGAGAGGCCCACGTACCACAAAAAAAAAAAAAAAAAAAAAGAGACCCCAGAGGTGAGGGCTGTGGTGTGATGAATTGGGAGATTGGGATTGACATGTATACATTGATGTGTATAAAATGAATGACTAATAAGAAAAAAAAAATTAAAACAAACAAACAAAAAAAGAGACCCCAGAGCTCTCTCTCGCCCCTTCCCATGTGCGGACACAAGCAGAAGAGAGCCCTCACCTGGCCATGCTGGTTCCCAGATCTCCAGCCTTCAAAACTGTAAAGAGTAGACTTCCACCACGTACAAGCCACTCAGCCTGTGGTATTTTGTTATGGCAGCTGGGACAAATTAAGACTCCTGAGAAACTGTCACAGGCCAGGTAAAACTAAGGAGGCCTGGAAACTAAGTGTAATGTGATTTCTTGGATGGGATCCTGGAGAAGAAAAGGGACATTAGTAGAAAAAGTGAAATCCAAATGAGTCTATACAGTAAAAAGGTTCACTCCTTAGTTTTCAGAAATATACCATGGCTATGTAAGGTGTTTATGTCGCAGGAGCTCTCTGCACTGTCATTACAACTTTTCTGTATATCTAAAATTGTTTCAAACTAGAAAGTTGACTTTTTTTAGTGAAACGTTAAAAAAAAAAGTAGGGAAGAGCATAGGTGTGGGGTTAGGGTTGTGAAGGCAGAAGCAGGAGACCAGTTAAGGAGGAGAACAGGACGCTAAGAGAGATAGCCAAGGACTTTCTACAGCTGGGGCTCCAGAGGGAGCTCTGGGGTGGTGGCATTGAAGCCAAGAGCTGAGGGACAAGCAGGAGTGAACGGAGCGAACGTTACTTGTGCACAACGTGAGTGAAGAAGACCCAGAGGTGGGAGAGTGTGTCCTGTTCACGGAACTGACGGGACACGGGTGGCTTGAGCCTGGGAGGCTCGCTCTTCACCAGCACCTGTTAGGCTGTGCAGGGTGCTGGGGGCGGGGGAGGCACTCCTAACACTGGGTAGCACTTGGGTGCCACCTACTGCGTGCCTGGCACTCTTCTAAGCCCTCTGCATATATCGTCTCAGTTAATGAAGAGGCAGAGAGGCACCTGTGCAAGGGGCTGGGATGGCAAGTGGGTGACCTTCTCCTGTTTCCTAGAGAGCTGCACCCCAAAGTGGACCATCTGCCACCTATCCCCAAGGAACGAGGTGGCCCCGAGGTGGCAACATCTACAGACGCAAAAGCGCTTTGGCCACTTGGGAGAATCCAGTACGAGAGACCGCATGCCATTCCTGATGGTGATTTTCTGTGAAGACGCAGAGTACAGGTAACGAAATGCTCCTACACACGCCTGCATTGCTAACTCGCCCGTATGTGCACACGTGGGCGCACGTAGCCTTCTGGGGATGGGTGGCTTCTCAGCAGCTGCTACAGCTGCAGCCTCTGGTGGCACCAGGAGCTGAGCATCCATTGTGTAACTGGCAGGGCGGGGCGGGAGGGGTGCTGCTCAGAGTCTTCCCCTCTCTGGGCCCCTGCTTCTCCATCAGTCTCCCAGAGAGGCTGCTATGAACCATTTGTGGCTTTGATCAGCAGGTACATTTCCTTCACAGATGTTAAGGGACCCGAGCGGGGTGGGGGTGGGGTGGGCTGCGGGTTGGGAAGATGGGTTTGGTGGGCGTGGGGTAGAGGAGTACGGGACAAGGGCCCGGCCTCTGCTCCCAGGTGCGCTGAGCAAACACACGTGTCCATTTCCCCCGCTGCCCGATGGGGTGATGGTAACGGGGCTGTTTGAAGGCTTGGAGGAAACCAGGCAGGGGAAGGGGCCCTGACCCTACAGCAGCGTTTCTCAGACTGTGACCAGCATCACCCAGGGAGCTTGTTAGAAATGCCTATTCCTGGTCCTTACCTGAAGAATCAGCGTGTTTAACGACCCCCCCTCAGGATTCGGATGCACAGGCAGACAGACGACCACGGGGTTTCCGATGTGGATCGGGCCACAGGGAATCTGCGCCCCCTCCTCTCTGCAGCTGCCACCACCCGGCTTCAGGGCCTGAAGACTCGTATACGCTACAGCTTTAGGGCCCAGACACTCTTTAGTATTAGGCATTTCTCCAGCTAGTCCTTGTCAAGCCACAGCTGGTAATAAACACAAACCCAGGCACATCCTCAGGACTCTGCCCAGAGGTCCATCCGTGGTGGAGATTTCCTGACTCCCCCAGACCATTTCTGGTCCCCCACACCCACCCCTCCCTCCCTCCACCACTTCCCACACTGTATAGTTATCATCTCTCTATGTTTCTGTGTCTCTCACACACCAGGAAATCCCTGAGGGTTCGCCCCAGTGCCTGGCACGGGCCTTGGCCCAAAGTGCCCTCAATGAATGTTGGGTGAATGAATGAAGGGGCTAAGTGGGAGACTGCAGAAGATTCTATGCCTCTGCAAGTCCTCAGGCCACTGCCTAAGACCCCCTATTCCTTGAGCCCTGGACCCCTACCCAAATGCATCGTGCAGGTGGGGCTGCTAATAACATATAGGACACCCAGATAAATATGAATTCCCGATAATGAATCATTTTTTAGCATAAGTATGTCCCAGGAATTGTGGGGTAGGTCCCAGGAATTCGTTTGCCAAATCTGGCAGCTCTGTCTATAGGGAACAAGGGTGAGCGAGAAGCAGCCATCCCCACAGCCAAAAGCCAACAGTGCTCCCTGCAGAGCTGAGGGGAAGTCACATCATGGGGACAGCAGGCAAAGGCTCTTGCTGTAAGGGGAGTGGGAACGGGTTTGGAGGAGTCAGAGGAGGGGCTATTCCACCAAGAAGGACCAGGGAGGGCTTCCTGCCACATGCTGTGCAGCCCTAGGTATAACAAAGTGGTTGACTCATGGGTGATTGCATCAAACTGAAGCCTGAGACAGAATGTTCTCAGAGGTCCCCTTGTTTATAAAGGGAGTTGAAACCCTCCCTTCTCCTGCCATGAGTTGAGGGACCTGTGGGCTCTGCAGGGACAGCTCTACACTCAGGAATGTGCTTGGGGACCTGGTGCTGGTGTCCCAACTGCAGAGGTGGGCAGGTCCAGACCACGTGGGTGCTGCTGGACCAGAGGATGGAAGGGAGGCCTGGGGTTGGAGGTGGGGACTTCAAACACAAGAGTGCCCTGAACAGCCTGTATCTCTAAAGATGTTCTGGGGACCTTGCAGAAAACAGACTGGGAAGGAGCAGGCAGGGAGGAGTGCAGACAACCCAGTGGTCACTCACACAGGGAGCAGTGCCAGGAGCTGGGACCAGAGTGTGGACAGCAGAGATGGAGAATAAGAAGTGGTTTCCAGGGATGTGGAAGTGGGAGATCTTGCCCCTCACTAAAGGGGAGGCTGGAGGAGGGAGGATGACTCCAGGTTCCTGGCTGAGCTGGGAAGACAGAGGCACTGTTCACTGAGATGGGGAGCAGGGAACAGTGGGGTGGGGGGTTATTTAGGGCATAGTCGGTGGGATAGATCACCAAAGAGAGAAGCCAAGGAGGAGCTATGTCAAAATTCTGGTTACCAGAAATCTCTGAAACATGGAGAGAGCTACAGCGCCCCAGGTAAGAGGCAGGAGGTGATCGATGTGACAGGAAACCACCTGCGAAGGAGAGCGGAGAGCCCTGTGATATAGGAGGGGGTCTCAGGCCAGACCGACCAGGCTGCTGAGGGGGTACAGGAGGAAGTGGAGTGCATGCGAGGGCTTCTGGTCAACAGCACCCACATTAGCCAAGAGTCCCGCAGCCTGCAGGTGACTTCATGCTCCAGGGTCCCTAAAGTCAGAAACTATTACTGTCCTCGTGTTACTGAACCAAACTTGGGTCTGCTCGCCCATGGGCAATGAAACCAGTCTGACACCAGGTTGTGGTAAAGGAAAGTGCAGCGTTTATTGCAGGCGCCAAGCAAGGAGTACAGACAGCTAGTGCTCAAAATACCAGAAACTCCCTGATGGCTTTCAGGGAAATAATTTTAAAGACAAGGGGAGGGGAGGGGTTGTGGGGTACATGATCATCTCATGGACATTTTTCTGATTGGTTGGTGGTGAGGTAATTTGGAGTCAACATCATCAACCTTCTGGTTCAACTGGTCTGGGGTCTGTGTGCGAGTGGGCAGCTTCCACCTGCTGGAGTTTCAGTATCTGCAAAATAACTCAAAGGATACGGCTCAGAATATTATCTATAGCCCTTGAGGAGGAACTAAAGATCCTCGATTTTGTTTAAAGGCTAAACTATGGTTATTTTGTCTTGCTTGACTGTTTTCCTTTGCTTCTGCATTTTCTCACTTCTCTGATTAAATTTATTCTTTGGAACTCGGGGAAGGCCTAGGAGGCTAAAGTTGTTCTACAAACCAGAGGCAGGTGGAGGACATGGTGTGGTCTGTCCCAGGAAGACACCTTAGGATCCTGCTCCGTTACACACGTTTTCTGGACCAGGTGCCATATCTTCCCATGGGCTGGCCCAGAGCGGAGTCAGGATGCCTCCACCTTCCCATGGGCTGCATGTGGTGTCTCTGCAGTTAGGCTGGGAACAGGGCAGTCAGGTGTAGGCCTGTGTTTCCTGGAGAGGACAACGCTGTGGGCTCCAAAGCCAGCTGGCCTGTTGTGGAATCCCCACTAGGCACTTACTGCCTTGCAACCTTGGGAATTCGCTTCATCTCTCTGTACCTCAATTTCCTCATATGTAAAACAGAATAACTGTACCTCCCTCAGAAGGTATTTGTGAGAATTTGAGTTCTTAACATAAAGATTAGATCACCTGTGATTACATCCTCATTATGACCAGGCCTCTGTGTGGTGAAGGAAGAACGGGTAAACTTGTTTAAAAAGAGGAAAGGCCGAGGGAACACCCATTTACTGAGGCATCAACTGTATGGCACACACCATGCTGTGTCTGCTTTCTTCCATAATACTCAAATGTCCCGGTTTACTGTCTTTCCCTATCCTGAGAGCCAAGTGGGCAGGTGAAGTGGATTTGGGCTAATCTCCTGCTGTATAATAAATCATTCTAAAAGTTTACAGCTTGGGACAACAAAACATTTATTATCTCACAGTTTCTGAGGGTCTGGAATCTGGGAGGGGCTGAGATGGGTGGTTTTGATTCAGGATCTCTTGTGATACTGTGCACACCTGCCCGGGGCTGGAATTCCACTTCCAGACTCACTCACATGGTTGTTGGCAAGAGGCCTCAGCTCTTTGCCTTTGGGTCTATTCATAGGGCTCCTTCAGACATGGCTTCCACTAGAGTCTACGTGCGTGTATGTGTCCTTTCATTAGCAACAAGCCACTAAGTCCACTCCAGCTCAAGGAGAGGGTAATTAAACTCCATCTCTTGAAGGCAGAATTATCAAAGAATTTGTGGATGTACCTCTAAAATGACCAGCTTACTGTATCCCCAGAATCCAGCAAAATCACTGCCCTCACAGTAGAGTCAATTAAAAATGCATGAGGTCAAGATGGTGGTGTGGGAAGATGCAGAATTTGCATCTCCCCACAACTAGGGTGCCTGCCAGATGCTGGTGGGTGACCTCGATGCCCAAGGAGATAGGAAGAACCCCTAAACAAACCAGTAGGACATGGAGGGACTGAAGGGGGAGGAGAAGTGGAGGCTGGACAGGACAGGCACCACTGGGGTTGACTGAGATGGGAGGAGGGGTTCCTAAGCCTGGAGGGACCCTCGGGGGCTTGGATGGGGGGAGTGTGCCGAGCATTTCCCATGCTCAATCAGCCCTGGAAGTCTGCCTGGCTCTCAGCTGTGTCCTACACCCTCAGAGGCCCCCTCTAGGTTGTGTTGGTGCTGGGGACTTAGGAGGGAGACTGGGGGAGAATAGGAGAGGCAGGTGGGAGGGGCCCTCCAGGACCAGAGGAGTGGGAGAGGAGCAGAGGGCATTTGTCCCACCCACTCGGGCCCAGGAAGCCTGCTGGGCTCTCAGGTGGGGTCCCCCACCCTCTGAGACCAGAGGTATGCCTGGGCCCTTTCTGTTGCTTTGAGCCTAAGCCCCACTCCTACCTCCCCAGGGCCTTTTCCAGCCATGTGGGTCCTAAGCATAGGCCCCACCCACCACCCAAACCCTGCCCCTGCCTAGGCCCCACAGTCCACAGTCAAGGCATTTTCCACCTTTTTTTTTTTCTTCTCCTCTGTTTTTACTATTGTGGTTCTGTTTTGCCTTCTGGTTGTTGTTTCACCTATATTTTTATTTTTATATTCTTTCTAACATATCTGTTAGTTTCCTAGTCTAATTTTATTTTTTTTTATTCATTTATTTTTTGCGGTACACGGGCCTCTCACCGTTGTGGCCTCTCCCATTACGGAGC